TTAATGTGGACAGGCATCAAATCCAACATCCAACCTACAACAAAAATTTTGTCAATGTGTAATGGTAAGCTTTTAGGAAAAAAAAAAATCAAATACTTCATTGCACAACAAGGCTCTTAAAAGTAAGCCATTTTTTGTAATGTTGAACATAACATTAAAGAATAATGCGAAGTCAGTGTCAACATAATTGGTCTATTCACAGAACAGAATATAACCACAGTAGGATCTGTGCATAATTACAGTAGTAGGAACTGCGCAAATTTGGAGGCTAAATTAAGTTCATAATTATTGGATTTCATTATCGGTTGAATTTTTCATTATCACAATTATCGGTGTGACGTCATAATTGCCATTATCGGCCGATAATTATCGGTGACCGATATTATCGTGCATCCCTAATTTTTATGGAACAGAACATTTATTAAAAGTCAGCAAATGCATAAAACAAACAAAAAATCTCTTTAACTGAAAGTAAAAAGAAATGGAAACAAACAATTTCAGTATAAAGTTAAAATAATTCTGAGCTGCATTAAAATGAAATTATTGCAAAAACCTGTTGTAAAACACACACAATGTCCTGGTGATTGATATTCATCTGCCCTGGCCAATTGCTCACTACATGAGAAAAAGTGAAAGAGAAAGAGAGAGGAGAGAGAGAAATGAAACAATTAGAGGGCAGAAAAACATTTCTCAGAATCAGGTTTGCTATCCAAGTACAGGTCACTACAACAACAATTAATTCCAACAGTCCGGTCGTAAGTCGATGTTGTCGTAAGTCGATCTATGCAATAATTACTGTATGTTCCCAGGGCGCACGTTTCACATGCTATACAGTTAAAACAAAAGTAAATGGGCAGCGTGTGTGGACTTTTTGGCTTCTTTGCAGATGTAAGTGTGTGTATTATCATTGCTCTCTATGTACTTACAGAATAGGCATAACAAACATAAAGGTAACATAACCTAACATAGAGGTAAAGGTAATACAAATTCAAAACATAATATAAAAGTAACATAAATATACCATAGCATATAACATAAAAGTAGCATAACTGTATACCATAGCATATAACATAAAAGTAGCATAACTGTATACCATAGCATATAACATAAAAGTAACATAACCAACTAACCTTAAGGAAGTGCCACTCAAAATCAGTGAGGTTTTTTATCAGAGTGGCAACATGTGGGTTTATTGCCTGTGCCTTCTTTTGGACCATTTTGCCTGTCTTTTTAGACACAATCTTTCCACCACTGGCCTTTGTTCTCCTCTCAGGGTTAATCCTGATAAAGCGTCTAAAACAACCCCCCCCCC